CTTAACCTTTTCTTGAATCATAAACTCCTGTGGCAATTTGGTGAAGCCGACAGACCTTCTAATTTCATAAGAATGTTTTTTAAATGCATAAAATAAAATAGGATCACAAAAGAAACCAATTACATTGAAATATAATCAGAAATTTTTTAGAAACAAGTTCACAAACCCCAGGTTAAGAACTCCTGCTCTAAAAGGTTATGTATACTTAAGTGATCCTGTTCTTAATTTTGGATTCTAGCACCTTAGTCTATGCCTGTATGATCTTCTGAGGAATTTTCAAGGAGCTCTTACTTGGAAGAAAAATTCTCTCTACATCAGAATTGCAATTTTTATGTAATTTGCATACACTGCTCCCAATAATGTCCTCTGCAGCCTAGAAGAACAAATCTAATCCTACTTCTACATAACATTTCTTCAGAAACTTGAAGGCAATTACCATATCGCTTGAGCTACTATTAACAGCTCTTTCAAAGGATTAATTTAGTCTTGGCTATAATTTTCATCCCTGAGTACAGCTTCTGTACTGTCATCAAAAAGTGATTCCTGGTTCTCCAGCTAGCTTCGAGCCTTTGAATTTCTAGTGGCAACTCTTGTAAGATGTCTGTTCACTTTTTCTTGGGACGTATTTCTTCTGGAACTCCAGTAAGCATTTTTTAGTCTCCAAATTTTACTATGGGTAATATTTTCTTTGCAGCAACTTTCAATTTTTTCCCCTACAGAATGTTCATATTTTATTGTATTTCCCTTTCCATGAATTTAAGCAATTTTCTGAAGACATAAGATCAAAAAATTTAGAGCTAGAAAAGTCCTTAGATATTACGCAATCTAATTCCATTATTTTACTTCTACTAGGCAAGGTTCTGTTTGTCTAATTTGCATTAATAAATGTACTTTAAGAATAATAAAATTTCCATGTACAAAAATATTTATAGCAGCTCCTATTGTGGTGGCAAAGAATTGGAAATTGAGGGGATGCCCATCAACTGGGGAATGGCTGAACAAGTTGTGGTATATGAATGTAATGGAATACTATTGTGCTATAAGAAATGATGAGCAAACAGACTTCAGAAAAACCTGGAAAGACTTGTATGGACTGATGCTGAATGAAGTGAACAGAACCAGGAAAACATTGTACACAGTAGCAGCCATGTTATGCAATGACTAACTTTGATAGACTCAGCTCTTCTCAGCAATGCAAGGATCTAAGACATCTCCAAAAGTCTCATGATGGAAAGTGTAATCCCACTATGGAATTCGAATGCAGATCGAAGCATACTATTTGCTTTTTTTTTCCCTTCTGTTTTGTTTTTTCTTTCTTGTGGTTCCTCCTATTGGTTCTAATTCTTCTTTACAACATGACTAATGTGAAAATATGTTTAATATGAATGTATATGTAGAGCCTATATCAAACTGCACGCTGTCTTGGGGAGGGAGGTGAGGAGGGAGGAGGAGAAAATTTAAAACTGAAAAGCTTATGGAAGTGAATGCTGAAAACTAAAAATAAATCACTAAAAAAAAGAGTAATAAAATTTCCAAAAGTGTTCCATAATTTAAACTTTCCACCAATTAAGGCTGGCTTTCTCACCAATTTTTCTAAATAAAAAGGGTTTTCTTAAGAGCTAAAATTTTATTAGATGTTTTACTCTTTTCACAGAACACTTTAAACAAAGAGTAAAGGAATAGTCAGAGGAGATTTGGGTCAATTAGTAAAGGTTTTCTGGAGGATGTAATTTTTAAAAATAGGTAAATACAAGAAGAGGAGGAATGAGTAGGGCATTCTAGGCCAGGAAAATTCACAGGATGAAATTATATGTATGAGATAAGTAGATATGTTTGGTTAGAGAGTTAATTATAGGGAAAATAAGAAGATAGAAATATATCTATAGCAACAGAGAGACAACATAGTATGCTAAACAGAAAGTCAGTTTTACCTTTGACACATATGGACTATGTGACCCTAGACAAGCCATTTACTTCTCTGTGCAGAGGCGATGACTATAAGGTGCAGAGCAGTTTCTGACAAACATTGGTAGACGGAGTTCCCTAAACCAGAGATGTCAATCACACTGCCTGTGGGCTACATGTGACCTACAACACTCTCAAGTGCAGCCCAAACCAAAATAAAATGAAGCTCTCACCTGATTTTACAGAGCTTGCTGTATTAATTTTAAAAAGCAACATATAAACATATATGGTTTCCTAAGTCAATATGTGGCCTCCTTAGGTATCATTTCGCAGCCCCTGTTTCTAGTTGAGTTTGATGTCACTGATGCAGACTAAGCTAATTTGTGAAATCAATTTATATTTGGCTTCTTTAACACTTTTTTGAGGTAGTTCTATTAGCTGTCTGACCAGTCAACATGGATGTCTCCTATAACTTAACTGCCATTACTCAACAAGCTTGGGAAACTCACCTTCCTATCTGTATGTAGATGATTCCTAAATTTTCATCCCCAGTTTTAACCATTCAATGTGTCTCTAATTTCTTCTCGGATATACCTAAACTTAATATTCATAGAAAACCAAGCCCTTCATTCTTTTGTTTCCCCTGCTTCCTTTTCAAGTTTTCCACAACACTACCATCTTCCTAGTTTTTCAAGTTGGAAATCTCCATCATGTTAGTCACCATCCAACTCAAGCCCAGGGCCCATATCATTACCTCATACATCAGAATTATTGTTGCACATTCTCACTTTTTCTCAACTTTCCTTTCTTCTTTCCTCTTTTACTTTATGCTATATTCCTAAAACAATCTGACCTGAACATTGTTTTAATTGTACTACTGCTCCCAGACCTAGAATGGCTACACTATCAAATCTAAGCTACTTTGCGGAGCTTTCGGGAATCTATCAACCTATCTATAGGTATAAATATATACATGCTTAGACTAAATGGGTTTTGGAGATTTCTATTAAAAAAAAACAAATAATTTAAAGCTAAAACTGACTAGAATACTATGCATCTATCTGATTAATCTGACATTTTAAAATTCAGAAATTTATTTAGAAGATATTAAATCACAGTGATATTTCTCACCTTACAAAATTTCTCCATTTTTTAAGTTTCTTAATATGAGTCACAAAAAAATTCTATGACAGCTTTTAAAAAAAATTTCACTGATAGGCAAAGTCATTTTTCTGATGTTCTTTGAAGCACTTCTTTGTAGAAGAGAAACAGGATAATCACAGCATCAAATCTTAAATGAAAAGTTTACCCTTAAACACAAAGTATTCACCTGATAGTTTATAATTTGAAAACTAGAGCTTCAATTTAAACCAAACAATTAATTAACAAGAGGAAGCATAGAAGGCAAGGGATAAATCTGACAAAGAACTCTAGGAAGATCTGATATAGGAGAAAGCACTAGCACCTGGAGGAATGAAGGAAAATCTCAAGAAGGTAGCACCTAATATAAGCCTTCAAGGAAGTTAAGAAATCTAAGCAGGGGAGTTGAGAAACCAGTGCATTACAGGCAATGAGGGCTCAATCTGTGTGAATATACTGGAGTGGGAGGCACAATTTTTAATTTGGGGGTAAGCAAACTATCTCAATTGATTGGTACATAGAACTAATAAACTAGAGTATTGTGAAGTAAAACTGGAGAGGAAGGAAAATTGGAGCTAGACTATGGAAGGCCTTATTCCAGCCAAAGGAATTTGTATTTTACTCCAGGTAGAGTGCCACACTGAAGGTTTCTGAGTAGGGGAGTGATACTGTGATGAGTTCTATTTTGGACATATTAAGTTTGAGTTATCACCAATGGGATATCCAATAGGAGAGGTCCAGAAGGCTTTAGGATTACATTTTGGATCCGCCTGAACAGATAACTGAATGCATGGGAGCAAATAAGGTCACCAAAGAAAATTCGCTGGTGAACATCCTTACATAGGAATTTGGAGGCAGATGATAAATGAGCAAAAGAAAACAAGAAGGATTAGTCAAACAGGTAGAATAGCATGTGGGAAAAGCAGAGTCACAGAAGTCAAGGGAGAAGAGAGTATCTAGGAAGAGTGTCCTGAATAGAGTATCCAAGAATGACTCATTCCTCTGATACATTCAGGAAAAAGTTTATGGACGTAATCATCCAGAATAACAAGATATAGGGTAAGGGTTGTGGGGCAGAGAGGAGGATTTAAATAGGTGGAATAGTTATTGAAATAATGAAGGAAGAGAAGAAGAAATTCAGAAGAAGCTCGCAGGTCATAGGATTCATTAATCCCAAAGGAAAGAACAATATGTGAGTCTAGGGAGGAAAACAAAAGAGTCTCCCAATAGGAAAAAATAAACTGAATAAATCACTTAGTAGATCCTTGGGTTAAATCTCTGGGAACGACATTTCCATAAAGGAAAAAGACATGAAAGGAGATTACTGTGCTGGGGAGCACACAGCTTCAAGGGTCAGCTCCAGAACCCAACAATTGGATTCCGAGGAATCCTAAGTTGTCTGATTCCTCAGACTAGTGTGGTATGGTAAACAGAGTAATGGATTTGCAAAGGACTTTGTTTTGAAACTTAGCTCTGCCAGTTACTGCCTGTGTGATCTTGTGTAAATCACTTAACCTCTGTGAACCTGTTTTCTCATCTTTAAAATGAGAAAGCTGAACTAAATAACTCCAAGATCCCTTCCACCACTAGATATATGATACTATGAACTTCTGGAATTAATTGGGTGCAGTTCTAAATAGTGTTGAAGTCTAGAGAACTAATTCAACTATAATCCCACCTATCCATTCAATCTCAGCCCCGAATCAATTTTTAATTTTCTGTTTAAAAAAAAAAAAGAAGTATTTTTAAGATAAATTTAACAAGTTCATTTTTTTTAAATATATACATAATTTTAATTTTGGGAAATCTGATTCTGATTATAAACAGAATGAAAAGAGGTAAGACTTTTAAAAAACCTTTTAAAGCACTTCTCCATATTAAGGTAAATGAGTAATTAACCCCCCCAAATTTTTTTTAGACATTTAAAGTTAAAATTAATAGATAAAATCACTTACCATATTCCTTTTCATTTACTTCAGAGATGGGTTCAGAAATAACACTGCAAAAAGAAATTGCACTTGCTGCAGAGGGATTCCGGGAATGGCCCATGTGGTGGGGTACCTTCTTAACATTCTTCAAGGCTTCCTCAGCCTGTTCTTGTTCCATTGCAGCCACCATGTCTTTATAAGCTTTCCTGGCTTCCTCAGTCAGTTCTACCAACTTATTAAACAAGCTCTAAGTAGAGAAAAAGATTTTAGTTAATAATTCCTCTTGTTATACAGTTTTATTCAAGTTAATTAAAAACACCTACACTATTTTACTTAAACTAACGTATATTCTGAGATAATATATTCAAAGAATAAAGTTATATTCAGTTCTGACACATTCTTGGATCAAACATCCTAATGAAGCACTTCCATAAAACATGTATTAATTTGTGTATGTAAATACACACACACACATAAGCATATATCCTTTCCCCACAAAAACACATATTAATACACATAGATTTTCACATACATGAAAATGTGTGTATAAACGCTAAGCCATGAATAACTTGAAAAATAGAACAGATATTGGTCAGAGGGTTAATAGTTTCCCAACTGAAAGGTTAAATGGGTAGATGAAACCAGTGATCAGGGAAAAGGTAGTGACTTTATAGACAGGTAGGTAGGTCATTAGGTAGGGGACAGTAGGTAAGAAGTAAAAAAACGGGCAGTTTGGAACTATGCCCAAAGGGCTATAAAACTGTGCATACCCTCTGACCCAGCAATACCACTTCCAGGTCTATATCCCAAACAGAGCATAAAAACAGGAAAAGAACCCACACGTACAAAAATATTTATAGCAGCTCTTATTGTGGTGGCAAAGAATTGGAAATTGAGGGGATGCCCATCAATTGGGGAATGGCTGAAGAAGTTGTGGTATATGAATGCAATGGAATACTACTGTTCCAAAAGAAATGATGAGCAGGCAGATTTCAGAAAAACCTGGAAAGACTTATATGAACTGATGCTGAGTGAAATGACCAGAACCAGGAGAACACTATATACAGTAACAACCACACTATGTGATGACTAACTTTGATAGACGGGGCTCTTCTCAGCAATGCTCGGATCTAAGACTCAAGATGGAAAATGCTATCCACATCCAGAAGAACGAACCATGGAATCTGAATGGATACTATTTGCTCTCTTTTTCCTTTGTTGTTTTGTTTTATTGCTTCATTCTCATGGTTCCTTCCATTAGTTCTAATTATTCTTTACATCATGACTAATGGGAAAATATGTTTAATATGAACATATAAGTAGAGCCTATATCCGACTGCATGCTGTCTTGGACGGGGGGAGTAGGGGGTGAAAATTTGAAACTCAAAATCTTATGGAAGTGAGTGTTGAAAACTAAAAACAAATTATTTTTAAAAATAAAATTAAAAAAAGTAGAAAAACTGGTGAAGTAAACTCCCAAGAGTACAGCAATTTTTATAAACTTTCTTATGAATGATTATGCAACAAACATTCCCTTAAATTTCTGATAAAAAACAGTAAGGTTGGAAAGGTTGAATAACCCATCTGTAATTTATAAATACATTTATTCATTCAATCAGTACTTAATGAGTGCCTACCGTGGGTAAGGTGCTGCCCCCCAATCCCTAGATTCATCTTCCTGAGTTCAAATCTGGCCTTAGACACTTACTAGCTGTGTGAGCCTGGGCAGGTTACTAAACCCTGTTTGCCTTAGTTCCCCACCTGTAAAAATGAGCTGAAGAAGGAAACAGCAAATCACTCCAGCACCTTTGCCAAGAAAAAACCCCAAATGGGGTCACAAAGAGTTGGACACACTGAACAACAACAAACTAGAAATACTATCATTCAATTCTACAAACACTTAAATGTATTCTATATATCATATTGAGTAAGAGATACAAGGATGTAAAACAATGTAATCCCTACTCTCAGTCTTAGCTAATAGATGAATGAGCTATACACATGCTTCACAAGATAGAACATGATTAAGTGTATGACAGAGGTCAAATAGAATGACTGGAAAGATTCAAGGAGAGATCATCTCCAGTTGGGAGGTAAAGCAAAAGTGGTTCCTTAGCTGGGCCTTGAAGGAGGACAAAGATGTCAATAGATGAAAATAGGAGAAAAGAAGCCTTTTCCACCCATAAGGACAGGACAAACAAAGGTATGGAAGCAAAAGTGGGCAGAGCAAAAAGATGAGACTTTCCCTAAAGTGTCGGAGAGGGAATTATATGGTGAAGCCAAAAAATAAAAAAGATCATTGTAACATCTTTTTAAACACACAGAAGAGAACCGAAAGAAGTTCAGAAGGAAGCACAAGCGGAATCATTTTGAAAATAACATGCAGAATTTATTATATGTATATATATTTTGAAAAAGTGATATGAAATGGAGATTCAGTTTCAAATCTTGTGTTCTGTTACACATATAAACATTCTTGGTGTTTAAAGTCTAAAAAAAAAGGCAATGGGCAGGCAGCTAGGTGGTACAGTAGATAGAGCTCCAGAGCTGGAGTCAGAAGGACCTGAGTTCAAATCCAGTCTCAGACACTTGACACTTACTGGTTGTGTGACCCTGGGCAAGTCACTTAACCCCGATTGCCTTACCAAAAAGCAAAAAAACAAAAACAGGCAATGGGGAATGACTTAAAGATTTATTTTTTTTTTTAGCAGACTGGTGCAGTATATAAATTACTTTGGTAATACCTTGAAAGAGAATGAGAAAGGCTGGAGGGAAGGAGAACAATTAGAAGGTCATTGCAATAAGCTAGAACGAGAATCAGAAAGAGAGAAGGGATAGCACAAGTAATAGTGACAACAAGCACACATATGAGAGGAAGGAAGGTGATGAAAAGCTATGAAAGGAAAGCATCAGTATGAGAGAAATCTCAGAACAGAGGATGAAGGAAAGGGCAAAAAGTCAAGAATGACCTCAAGTGTTAGAAGTTGACTTCGGTAATATCTATGGAAGAAGGTGTTCTAACTAGTCAGTATTCATAATCCAGTCTATTTTCCAGATATATCACTACTGTGGAGAAGACTACAACGGGATGTCACAGCATGATGAAAATATCTCATAAAATTAACACTCTTTGTCTATGAAAAATACCAGTGAATAACCTTCTGATGTTGATTTATTTTCCCAAGGATGCTTTTCTATTGGGAAAAGAATTCACTGACAGTTGACAAGCATTCTAAACTACTTGGCAAACATTTTGCTTATTTTAAATTGATTCCAGCTTATAAATCAGTTATTTCAGTAGGCTCACCATAAGCAGCCAGCTAGTCTCTCTTTCTCTAATGCTATCTTAATTACAACAAATTCAATATACTGAAATAAACTAATCACACACAAAGACTTGAAACATATAATATCCTCTGAATACATAAATTGAGTACTTTGATAACTACCCTATAAGAAAAAATACATGATAGCAACTAACTTGAGATGATCTAAAATAATAATGGTACTTTCCATAATGTTACAGATTTAGAGGAAGGGAAAGGAATTAGCATTTAGATAGTGCCTACTATGTACCAAGTGCTTTTTTACAAATATTATCTCTCACAACAACTCTGCAAGGTAGCTGCTATTATTATTTCCATGTTACAATCAAAGAAACTGAAGAAAAGAGGTTAAGTGATTTGCCCAGGGTCACAGCTAACACGTGTCTGAGACCAGATTTGAACTAAGGTCCACTGTACCACCAGCTACTTCTACAGAGACAGATTTAGTCTACTCATTGCTGTAAATGGATTTATTTCTATAAAAATTCTCTCAAGACTGGGGGAAAAGTATAATAGTAACTTGGGAATTTTCTATTTACTCTGCCATATATTAACTCATTTTTTCAAACAAATATTACATTGACATGTGCCTCCAAAATATGCTACATATAACTATATCTTCTGAATTCTTATTACCTCAGCACCAGAGTAGTTGAATATCCCGACAACACTGACAGGCACCAGCTTGTTTACACAGCGGCCTAGAGCTTTCCGTCCAAGTGCAAAGACAAAAGGGATTTCTTGTTCCCGTGCCATAGCTATAACATTATAAAGTGCCTCATCTAGGCCACCTGAGAAAAAAGTCCAGTTCACAAATTTAAGTGATTTTACTCCCTAAACTGAGCTAAAACTCTACATCTAATATTCCATATGCTCTAAATTGAGCTAATATTCCATTTTTAAGTGGAAAAAAAAAGTAGTTCAAATGACTTAAGTTCCTATAGCACACTGAACATAAAATCTCACATCAATAATATTACCTTCTATTCTACATCTTTTCCATGTATGTATATCTTGTTTCCTCAACTAAACTGTAAGCTTCTCAAAAGTAGGATTCTTTTCTTCTACGTCTTTTGTAGGTATCTTTTGCCTAGCAAAGTGCCTGGGAGTTGAATAAACTTCAAATCAACAAGCATTTAACTTTTCATAACGAACTACAAATTAGTTTGCTGTTATAAATAGACAAACATTCTTTTTCTCTCATTCTCAGCTCAATTAATAAACACACTATGAAGTAATTAAGAAAATCACAGACAAATGTTTTCAATATGTTGCCTATGGACAAGCCTACAGTTAATGGCTCCAACCTATTATTCCATTTGAGCAAAAGAAAACCAATGGCACTTCTCTGCTCTTTGAGCAAACAAAGTATAAAAAAAGGGCAAAAGTGCATTTGTTCCATAGAACATAAGTCTGTAACAACAGATTTCATAGTACTAAACCTTTACCAATGATGTTAAGAGTAACATTCCTTCTGTTACTTTTAGCAGAAAGAATGTAAAGGAGAAGAAAAAGAAGCATTTGGAAAGCAGATGGCTTCAAATGGGTTGAGAAACACACTTACTGGACACAGCTACTATTCTTATTTTTTATGATCTTAAGATGGTTGAGCAAATATGTATCCTCATTAACAAGAATGAGTATTTTCTTTGAAATGCAAGCTCCACATTTTAATTAAGTATCCACGTTTTGAAAGACTCTTTTTTTCTCTTCAATATTTTATAACAATGTCAATAGAGAAAAAGCTACATCCTCCTTCAGTGTGTAGCACACTATACACTACAGTCATATACATACATACCTAGGCACTTCAATAGGTAGGCAAACCACATTCCTACCTTTTGACTGTATTTTTTCACAATTGGGAGAAATAATAACACACTTGATCTTGTTTAACTTCATATGCTTGGTAACCTCCCGAAGGCCCATAACTAGACGTCTTCTTGCTTTTGCTCTTACAGGATCCTTTTGGTAAATGCGCTCCTGAAAACTAACAAGCTCTTGAAGAAGCAGAGTCACACATTCATCAATTTCTTTACAGAGAACCTGATTACAGTACCTGTTAAGAAAAATATTTTTTAAAAGTTACATCTTTGAACACTGGCCCCAAATTTATTTTCTTGCATCTTTCTTTCTTCTTACAATGACTCTTAGGAAACATTTACTATAGAAAACCTTAACTATAATATTAAATTAAACACTCCCTTTATCCAAAAAATAAGAAAGTATATTATTAGATTCGATTAAAAAAAACATAATATGGAAGCTTCTTAAATCCTTTAAGTAACTTATTTATATGCAAAAAGAGGAAAACCCCAAAATAATGAATTGGACTTTATTGTTTTCAAATTACAGCATCTGACATTTTTCTAATCTAAGCAGGAATAATTTGACAATGGCATTAGGAGAAGGAAGAGAAGACAATATAGTTCAAATAAGTATCTAAGTTCCTAAAATATAAAGGGAGACGGTTTCAAGCATAAGTTGCAATATTTTTAACATATAAAATTAAGTTCAGTAAGTTCTTATTTCATTCTGGAATTCATTCCATATATTATTACTAATGGTTCACAGGAAATTACTCTCAGCTGACACATGTGCTGATGATGCACAATGGTCAATTCCTTAAGAGTTTACATGACAGTTTTGAAAACCTAACAAAGATCTACAAAAAATACCAAAAAAACCTTTGTGTAGAAAGCATTTTTTGTAGTGGGTTGGAAGAGTTTGTCTCAAAGGTTGATACAAAGTACACAACAGCAAAAGGATTTCATGGAAAATCCAAGATAATCCTAAAAGTAAGATACTGACAAGGTATCCCAGGCATGCAGATCAACAAAGTTTTACATAGAGAATAAATTCATTGTTAAATTATTTCTACGTGAAATACATTTTGATAGCTGCTGAAATAGGTAAATGTTTTAACTTAATGAAATTGTTCATTAAAAATAATTTTTCAAATAAGTATTTCCAAAGGATATTAAAAAAAGATTTGTGAATGAAAGGCAAATTTTATTCAGAGTTCAACGAAAATACAAGTCTATGCTCATTATATTCTTGCATATGCACACACAGTAACAACAAAATATTAACGTTTAAATTCAGGACTGCCATCAGGATACTGCATCCTGATAATGTAGTCACTCTGGTTCACTGTAACTCTTCACATGGATTACTACCAAACCTCATTTCATAAGGCACTATAGGACCTTCTCCTTGTAACAAAGAAAAATATCTAAGATCTTACTCTCTAAATCTTTTGCTGTGGATTTTGGTAATTGCTGAAGATGCCATTGGACTGCCTATCCCTGAGCTGGCAGGAGAGCCCTGAGACACAGGTGTCATGCAGTATGGAGAATTCTGACTTGCTGGAGAGAGTGAAGTATCACTAGGCATACTTAGTCCAGTATCTGAAAGTTAAAAAAAAAATATTAGTTTAAAATCTTTCCAAACTCTCAAACTCCAAGCGTACTAAAAAATTTGGTATGGCAGATGGTTACTTCTTCAAAATGTTCAGAAATTATCGACAGTACATTAACATCTTTTAGATTACAAAAAAGGAAACATTAATTTTATATTATTAAAATGTGAAATTTTCCTATTTCTATTTAAATAATTTTTTAAACTCTCTAATGGCCTGAAATTAATCTATGTAGAAATATCAAAGGCATGGAGATGTTAAATTCTAAAATATGAATACCTAGAAGATTTACTGCTAAGAACAAAAGGTGTTAAATCCCTTAGCCATTGAATTTCTTCCCATACTTCACTTTTCCTAGCCTTTTCTTTGTACTGCTTCAAACACTTATTCTTCCCATCTACTCCTCAGATTTTAGTCTACTTTATTTGATTTAAAAACTTAAAACTCCACAAAACATAACAAAGCACCAATATAACCATATAATGATAATTATGAATAAAAATATGCTTTAGCCAACAAATAATGTCTCCCTCAAATCTCTGTGTTCTTTTGTAACTATTTTTACATACTCAGTCACCCTGCATACTATTTAAACTCTACTCTGTAGTATTTCCCATCCTTTTCCTAACCTCTCAAAACACTTAACTTCAATTAACATAGCAAAGCTTTATCTCAATCTTTCTCTTCCATTTGGCTTTTTTTACTCTTTATTTAGACCTTCTCATTTTGTAAGTCACACTTTCTTAATGCTACCACTTTTCTCCTAGTGATTACTTTTCTGTTTTCCCTTAACAACTAAATCCAATGGAAAATGCTATTTCTCCATATCTCTATCTACTATTGGCTGCCCTTTACTCACTTCAATACTCATGATTTTAGAAGGCAGCCAAATACTACTCTTTCTAGGACCTTTCTTTCTAGATCTCTTGAATAACATACTGCATGTGAAAAAGTTTTATATATCATAAAGAGTTATTGAAAGCTAAGTTACTATTGTTACCTTCAGCACAGTCAACCACTCACTTCTCTGACCAACTTAATGGTTTTTCTTTCTAAAGACAGTAATCTAGTCTGAATGAAGCACCTCCTTCAGCTACTCCTCCTTCACCAACCCCAATTTGACCTCACTGTCCCTCCTGGATTCAGTTCTTGATACTCTACTATATATATAACTCCTCAGGGATCTTATCTTCTACTAACAAATACAATCTGATCTAATTTATAGAACAGTACCTCTTGCTCTCTAGAACAGTATCAGAATGTCTTTCTAGATCACAAATAGGCAAACTATGGCCTGTAGGTCAGTCCATTACCTGTTTTTGTATAGCACAATATTTGCTTTTCATTCTATTCCAGTTGCTTAATGGTAGCAGCCATCTGATTTGTCTTCTCCTTCAAGTGACTGTTTAATTCATTTTTTTTTTGACTCCCAAATCTGAACTCTGCAGCTTAATGGCTAATTCATGCTTTATTTCTAACTAGCTACATTTAACAATGTAAAAACCATTCTTAGTTCACGGACTGTTAAAAAAAAAGTGGCAGGTCAGATTTGGTCCACAGGTTATAGTTTGTTGACCCTTGTTCTAGATGATTGGTTACCACATCTAGCTAACCACAGTAAAAAGAAATTTCCTGTTTTCTTCACTATACTTCTACTGACCAGTTCTTCAGTCCCTTTCTTTTCTTTTCAAACAAATAAATTAAATTGATGCCTTTTGTTTTTTACATAAGTCATTTGCAGGTATATTCCTCTACCTCTACTTCAGCCATTTAAGAATCAAACTCTCCCTTGTTAATAAAGAAAAACAATGAATCAAAAACAACATGATACAGTGACCTTATCTGACAATCTAAACAATATGCTGCCCTTAAAATTCCACATCTCGTTAGTGAGAAGATAGAGATATTTTTCATTAACTGTTCTCTGGGATAATTATTGTTTTTTCCAATTACTCAAATCTCAGTTTCCTTTTAGTAATCTTTTCATTTACATTACTATAGTCAGTCAAAATTGTTGTTCTGGTTCTGTTTATTTTACTCTATATTAGTACATGTAAATCTTCCCATGTTTCTCTGAATTCTTCATATTCATAATTTTTGGGGATCCAGATCTACAATTTCATTAGTGTGGAGAACTTCCAATGAGGCAACTCCTACCAATGCAACAACTTGGGCCCTTCTCTGCCTCTTATGATCGTAGTGAATTGCCTGAAACACTGAAAAGCTGGGTGAACCAGTGGACAGGATCAAAAAGGACCTCGACTCACACCCTCCCGACTCAAGTGCCAGCTCTGCTGCCTCTCATTTCCTCTCATTTCTAACTGCATTGTAATATTCCATTACATTCATATAACACAGCTTCTTCAGCCCTTCACTACTTAATGGACACCCACTTTGTTTCTAGTTCTTTGCTAACACAAAAAGTGTCGTTGTGGCCATCCTGGTCTCTGTTGAAATTTTCTGTTTTTTATCTTTTTGGCTTATAAACAGATTAGTAACTTTTCTCATGTAATTTTGTAATTAGTAACATAATTTTAGACATGCTATATGTAGTAACTTTTCTCTATAATTCTGTAATATTATGTAATTAGTAAGAGAGGGTATGATAAGATTAGCTTTTCTCATGTAATTCTGAATTATTTTACAAATAGTTGGACCAAGTCACAATTTCACCTTGCAATACTGATTCCATTTTTATGACCTTTGCTAATCTGCAGAGTGACAGTTAAAAACTTGGACTTGTTTTAATTTGCATTTATCTTTTTATTGGGGTTTAGGTCATATTTTCACATGGACATTGATAATTTGCAATTCTATTTATCCATATTCTTTAATAATTTATCCACTAGGCAAAGGCTTTTGATCTTAGATGTTTGTGTCAATTCTATTTCTTTGAATATCAGATTTTTATCCAATTGATCCAAGATTGTCCCCACCCCCAACAAATTAAAGTTTCCCTTATTTTGATTTTGTGTCTACAAAAATTTTTCAATTTAATTTTAATTTAATGTAATGGAAATTATCTGTTTTGTCTTTTATGGTTACCTCTATCCTTTGTTTGGTTAAGAATTACCTTATTGAGAAACACAGCTCCTTCAGTTCTCTTATGATTTTTTTTTTTATGCTGTGACCTGGATATTCAGGCCAATTTCCTATTTGGAAACTATTGTATTATATGGTGTTCCACTGTTTCTGACATTACCACCAACGAGATGGTCCCCTAGACCAGCACTAAAGGAAAGTCGCAAGTGGGAAAAGTTTAAGAAGCCCTGCCCTAGACCAAACCTGAATTGATTCATCATTATTCTTCACTAAGTCAAATGTAAAAATTATGCTACTCTTGTACCAAGAGAAGCTGCATAAATCTGCCCTTTCCTTTCCATTCCAACCATAAAAGTAGGTTCTCCTGAAATTCTAGCTGAAGTTATCACCTCTTCACCAGCTTCTTCTATCTAAAAAGTTACTGTCAAATATCAAGTATACTTTGATCTTGTCAATTCTGCATCAAAATTCTAATTCATCTCAATTGTTTTTCAAATAAATTTCAAACTCTTGACAAAGCTGAACTTCAAGCTATTATGCCAGCTGACTAGGGCTAAAAATCTTTATGTTCTGCTAGTCATATGTATCCACCTACAGTCCCGACCAAGCTGCCCCTTCCTTCAATGGTTCCCCATCCCCAGAGCTCATTAAAGGATGCTAGAGGATAGAGATTATTGGGCTGGTGGAGGAGTTCTCTTCCCAATGGCTCCAGCTTAAAATCTGCTCATTTGGAGCAGCGTTAAGGGAACCAGTTAAGGGAACTTCTTTCTACAATGGTCCCAGTCTGTCACCTGCACAGAGCTATCTAGTAAAACAGAAGCCCACCAAGACTTAGGATCTTCCTTGATACCAGGTCCAAAGGCTCATTTGCACTCTAGGATCATTGAGCCTTTTCATCCACACTGCTGTTTATTCTTCTGATGTGCTGTCTCTCCCAACTAGAATGTAAGTTCTTAAAGACAGAGATCGTTCCTGTTTGTATTCTAAGCACTGTGCTTATTGCTAGACACAGTTAGCACTCAATAAGGGTTTTTCCAAGGCCTAGCACAAATACTACTTAGTCCATGAAGTTTCCACTGAAGCTACCTATGATTTTTCTCCTTCCAACCTTGCATAATCTTTTATATCTCTTATGTGATGGAGATTAGTTATAAAAATATCAAGTGATTAATGAATACATAAATAAACTATATGTAACAGCAATATGATACAATGATTAACTGTTAATGACTTAGCTATTCTCAGTAATAAATGATTCAAAACAATTCCAAAGGACTCATGAAGAAAAATGCTATCCACCTCCAGAGAAAGAAGTAATGGAGTCTGAATGCAGATCAAAGTATACTGTTTTTCACTTAAATTTTTTTTGGTCTATGTTTTTTTTTTTTCCCCACAACATGACTAATATGGAGACATGTTTTACATGACTGTACATGTATAACCTATATCAAACTGCCTACCTTCACAGGGAGGGAGAAGAGGAGGGAAAGGAGAGAATTTGGGACTCAAAATTTTAAAAAACAAATGTTTAAAAATGTTACATGCGGGGTAGCTAGGTGGCACAGTGGACAGAGCACCGGCCCTGTAGTCAGGAGCTCCTGAGTTCAAATCTGGCCTTAGACACACAACACGCACTAGCTGTGTGACTCTGGGCAAGTTACTTAACCCCAACTGCCTCAACAAAAAAAAAAAAAATTGAGCTTACTGGGGCAGCTAGGTGGTACAGTGGATAGAGCACCGGCCCTAAAGTCAGGAGGACCCAAGTTCAAATCCGGCCTCAGACCAAACACTTGACACTTACTAGCTGTGTGACCCTGGGCAAGTCACTTAACCCCAATTGCCTAAAAATAAAAAAATTAAAATTGGATTAAATTAAAATTTAAAAAATAAATGAAAATGTGACATGCAATTGGGAAAAAAATAAAATATTATTAGAAAAAAATAAAT